GAGGAGCCATTTCTATAACCTTATGTTATAGATAATCACAAATATTAAAATATTTTATCAAAATGATATTAAATTTATCAATTTTTATAGTGATACGAAGAAAAAAAAATAAGAAAAGCACCTGAATCAAAAGTATCTGAAAAAACAAATATCCACACACAAGACCGGAAAATAATAGTTAGATTTTCGACATATATAATTATATTTATAGTTACATGTACAATGTACACTTTACGAGTTACCGTCAATGATAAATTAACATTATTTACATTAACATTTAGTTAATAATAATTTCAAATGGTTTTGTCAATGACTAAATTTAACATAATTTCAACCTTCGTTGTACCTACGGAATAAATGTCAATACTCGTCGATTTGCTAAACAAATTTTTATGTAAATAACGCTTTTCTATGTGAGAGTCCATATTTATGGATCTCCATAAAAGTAATAAAATAATCTGTGCATTTGAAGGCGTCATGTTCCTCTGTACAGAACACAGTACCTTATTACATGTTTAATTTTCATCGACTATGCATACCACATGATCATTATGACTACAATATCACTTATGAAAATGATAGACAAATCTTGAAAATTATGTGTAATTTTTGAAGTATTTATGTCATTGACTGTAACACTTAGCTTAAATTAGGCATTCCATAATTATATCTTTCAATAATATTATTGCCCATAAAAAACACTTAAACATGTATTTGACATTTTCAATAACGCCTTAATAACTCTCTGTTGACGGTAACATATAATATGCTGTTGTATACTTATGTCCCCAAAGATTTGTGATATTTTGTGTACGTAAAATATAAAATAAATATTTGTTGAATTTTGATTTTATTGTATTTTTAAATGTGGTTATAGGTATAAGATAACAAAACGTGAAAAGTTTTTAGTAAAATTATAAACATGGTCGTATGCATTGAAAGTTTGCGAATAAATGTTAAATAATTATTCCATTTTGTAAAAAATATGAAAAATATGTTTGAAAATATGTATTTGTTTATTAATATTGTGGTTTCAAGGTAAATAAATTATAATTGATTTATTTAATTTATAATCGCATATGGAATACACTTAGTTTTATCTAAAGTTGGTTGTGCACTGCGACCAATCTGAATACGAAATCAAATACCTAATCGTATACTTCTGCAGTCATACGAACTATCTTTAGTCATAGAAGGTGATCCATGCGTCTTAATTCCCTGAGATACGTTTTTCGAAGGTAATGGTAAATTAATTTCATGTGTATAAGAACTATTCACCTGTATTCAGTGGCGTAGCCAAGGGGGGGGAGGCTAAGAGGGCTATAGCCTACCCCATGGGCCGTGTTTATATGTATAATGTATCTTGACTATTTAATAGAATCAACGCTCGTTTTAATCAAAGGCATATTGATGTTATGCCACTTAAAAGACTTATTCCGGCCAATTTCAATATGTATGACGATAAAAATATTATAAAAGCTGCTAAAATATATGTCCAAGATCTCCATGATGATACCTCATCTACAATCAGAGCTGAACTGTTTATATGGAGGCAACAATGGAGTCAAAATCCTATTCCAAAACCGAATTCTGCTCTTGATTCACTCTCTCATCGCACCAATCTTTGATCTAACATTAAAATACTTTTACAATTATTCGCCACGTTACCAGTTACCTCTTTCACTCCGGAAAGAACGTTTTCAGCACTTAATCCCTTAAAAATTTTTTTAAGAAGCACCGTGTCGGAAAACAGACTGAATGGGTTAGCTATGGCTAATATAAATAAAAAAGAGCAATTCCATGAAAGTGAAACAATAACTGAATTTGCCAGAAATTCGCCTAAGAGAATGCAGCTGTCAGAGTGGAGCAAGTGACTGAACACTGAAACCAAAATTATTATTATTATTATAAATTATATATTAATAAATATTTTTAAAATTATACTAAAATGCTTGAATTACGTTTAGAAACTTGGTGGTAGATGGTGGGAGGTTTAAGGGTGAATTCTCATATCCTCTCTTACCTTACTTATCCAAAAAAGTGGTTGCCCCCCCCATTTAAAAATCCTGGCTACTCCACTGGTCTTTAAGAGCCAAAAGTTCCATTTTTTCTTTAGATAGGCTCATATCTCTAATCAAATCATTTAATTAATCTTGACTAAATGTTTGAGAAGATGATTTATCTTCTTCTGGGGTATAATTTGCATCTCCTGGACATTCATCATGATGATCAAATGAATCTTGATCACATTCCATTTCTGAATTAAAATTAAGACCTTCTTCTTGAGGTATTGGAATAGGTAACGAGGCACTGTGACTAACTGGTCTAATTGCGGAGTCTAAGCATGGGTAAATAATATTATGTTTATTTTTTCTAGAAAAACCACTTATGTTTACATTACAAAAGTATAAATCATTGTAATGATTTTTTTGTTGCCTTCATACCATTGGCAGTGGCGTAATTGTGGGGGGCAAGGGAGGGGGGGGGCAAGTGCCCCCTCTGACAATTTTTTGAGAGATAAAGCTATAATTTTTTCCCCCCTCCCAGATAATCCAATAGTACAAACAGCACATTTTATTAATGAACTCTTATGGGTATTATTTAACAATATTGGTACCTAGTACTTGCTACCTACAATTTATGTTAATCTAAACCACAAAATGAGTTAAAAGACTTATGTAAAATCAAACAATTAGATATACTTTATAAAATACATACAATAAAAATATGTCTTAAATGGTGAGGGGGAGGGGTGTCAGAGTTTTGGTAATAATAAATATTTTATATTTGCCCCCCCTTGATTTTTTCTCAGTTACGCCACTGACCATTGGTATTGCTAATGGCAAAGTCGATTTTCTTTTGTTCAACCAATCACGCAGCCCGTTAGAACAAGCATTATATATAGTATGTGGTGCCCATACTTTATCTTGGTCACCAAGGGGGCAACCAAAATATAACTTGTAAATATTCCGAAGATAATTTGTAATTTTACGCCATAGTGTTTTAGTTGCAAATGATCCACAAACATAACAAAAAATATCTGTATGATTTTTACACCGACGAGGTATAATAACGTTTAATATAAAATTAAAATAAATACGCGGTTCGTAATAAATTATACACTCCGTTTGGCCACTATGTATTATAATGTATTATATATTCTACATACTACTAAAACACACGACACGTATTTTAATTCGTACAAATTGACTATAATGCATGGGTGTATATTATATACTGAAATAACATCATAAAGGTAATAGAATAGATAAGATTATATTTTAAAAAACATTCGGGTATTTCGATTCAATATACGTATCTAAATCAGAATACAACACACACTACACAGTATAAAACGTATTATATAGAATACATTTTAATTAATCTCATTTTTAAAACTGTACGTGCTAGATAAAAATGAAAAACAGATTTGAAATCAGCATAAAAAAATCAATATGTAAAAGCCCTTCGTTATCAACTTCCAAATATCATAGAAGCTTTAGAAGAAATATCTAGAGAAGCAAATGATACTATGTCAAAGAGTGAAGCTCAATCGTTGGATAATGAAATTAGTAAATTTGAATTTGTTCTCAGTTTGGTGATATGGTATAGTATTTTAGTAGAAGTGATGTTGTTAACAAAAGTTTACAACGTAGAAATATTGATATAGACATCTCTAATAAAATGTTGGAAAGACTTTTAATTTTTTTAAGATCGTTTAGATAAACAGGATTTGAAAACTATTGCAACTGCAAAAGAAATGTGTGAAGAAAATGACGCTAATTTTAAATCATTTCGTTTAAGAAAAAAAAAAATATTCAATTATGAAGTAAAAGATGAAAGACGTTATATTGCTGAAACAATATTTCGATAAAAGTATTTTTTTCATATTGTTGATCAATCTATAAGTTCAATGGAAACCCGCTTTAAACAACTTGAATCTTATAAAGATGACTGGGTTTTTATTTCGAATAAGGAAATTAACAAAAATGGCAGATTCAGATTTATTAAAACATTGTATGGACCTTCAAAACCGTTTGACGGATAGAAACTCAAAAGATATTGATGCTTTATATTTATACGCAGAATTAATAATCTTCAGATCTCTTGTCGATGAGAATCAAACTCCTATTGAAGTACTTTCGTCAGTTAAAAATTCCAATGGTTTATTTCCTAATATTAGTGTTGCTCTTCGGATACTTTTAACCATTCCAGTCACTTCAGCCAGTTCGTAATAGGATCAGCCTGGTAACTATTTAATTTGAAATACTTGGGTAATTCAATACAAAAGATTAAATTTATTTAAAAAAAAAAAAAAAAAAATGTAATAAAAACGATGAGTTTAAAATTTGAAATTTGCGCCTCTGTATAATTAGCGCTCGGGGCATGGGCCCCGGATGCCCCCCCCCTTAAATCCGGTATTGATCTTTGTACCTGTTTGGTTTCAATATCACTATCCAATAATTGGCGGCTGATATATACATGTAATTATCTAAAATAGGTAGACATCAATATTAAAATCAACCACTAAGTATTGGATGGTTACATATCTTGTATATCTTTAATCGTGGTGCTCACTTGCTTGACTAGCACTTGCCGGTGTGTGCGGCTGATAAATAAAGACCAATATATCATGGAAGTATAAAAATTTGAGCTCATTGAATTTCATTGATTTATTTTTCTTATCAAATATTTAAAGGTCATCTAAAATAAACCGTATAGATGTATTTTTATCATTTTACAGTTTATAATACGTATAAATAATGGACTGTTAAGGTTAATTTATTTCCGTAACATCGTTTTTGTAATACAACGGAGTCACTTGTAGTCTATACATTTTGAAGACATTTTTAATTACGTTTTTCTGTTTTATAAATGTGGTCAGCTTTTGAGGTAGGTACACAAATACATAGATATTGCGAATTATTTCGACTTGAGAAATTTGCATGTAACTGTTTGTTCTTTTTAAACTACTCGTACGTAATTTTTCACTTAGCACAATGAACAATGTCGATTCAGTTGGTCCACCGGATCCAGTATCAAATTTACGACCAGTTAAATATCATATACCTAAACATGAGTCTTTAGCTGAACGTCAGTTACGACTCAAACGGATTGAAGTAGCCAAATGGAATCATGAATTTTGGTCTCGTCATAACTTAAAATTTGTTAAGGAAAGAGAAGCATACAAAAAATGTTTAGCCGAGAAGGGCATATCAGCAGCTACTGCTGATCAAATGTCCGAATTTTACAAGGACTTTTTGGACCGAAATTGGAAGACACATTTAACATATAACTTTGAATGGTATAAAAGAAATATATCCATTGTACGATTAATGATGAATAAAAATATTTTCAAAGCAATTCAGTGGACTAAAAAATTTAAGTTTTGATTAATTTAAGAATGCGTCTTGTTAAATCATTTGTAAGTTAATTATTCAAATTTGTTTAATAAATTATTATATCTACTAAGTAATTGTATTCTTATATTTTATTTTAGGGTATAAATCGTTTTTCTACTTTCATTCATCATGTTAGTGTTTTATTATTATTATATAACATTTACCTAACACTTAAACTGCTTAAAGCCAATTCCTCTATTAAAACTGATTGTATCAAAGAGAATTCAAATACTTCATTCTTCCATCTGACATTATCAACTGGAAGATGGGACAGTCGACGGATGGTTAAGACATATGATAATGTAATTTTAGCAGACCAAAAACAAAGTGGAATGGTATGTTTGGCTACACAATGTTCAGTAGACCGATTAACATCTATTGTAGAACTAGCAAATAACTGGAATGGCCCAATATCGACTGCAATTTATGTAGCCGGTGAAGAATTATATTATATACAAGGTAGGTGTTTCATATTTTTATGTTATAATTACTTGAATATTAACAGCCATTACATTTTAGATTATATAAGATTTTTACGTCGATGTTATCAGTCAGTCCGTCAAACAGTTACTTTTCATCTTGCTTTACCGGCAAATAAATTTCCTCAATCTTCACAATCAGGTTTTGAAACTGATCAATTATCATGTCATCAAGATCCTAGTGTTGTTTTATCAAATCTGATGAAACAATTACCAGAAAGCTTAAGGCGATGGAAAATTCGAATGCCTTATCCTCAAAATCATCTAAGAAATCTAGCTCGCTTAAATTGTCAAACACATTATTCATTGGTTACTGACATTGATATTATTCCAAGTATTAATTCAGCAGTATTACTTAACAACTTTTTGTCTGAAAGACCAAAATGCTTGAAATGTGTATATGTTTTACCTACTTACGAAGTTCATAAGTCTGCTATTCCTCCAAAAAATGTTACGGAGTTAACAAAATTGAAATCTGCTGGGCTCGCAAGATATTTTCACATGGAAGTCTTTAAATTAAATCAAATGCCAACAAATTTTGTAATGTATGTGAAATATATGCTATTGATTGTTTTTAATCTATCTATCTATTTTTTTTATAAATTCTTATAATTTTGTATATCCTGTAGAAATTTTAAATAAACCTTTTTATTTTGTTATTGTACTTCTGTTTATTATAGTTGTAATTTTAGAATTTTCCATTAATTGAATTGCATGTACAATGAGCTATCTTATATAGTTATAATAATTATTTATTATGTTGTTTATGAATTATCATAATCTAAAAATTCATTTTTCATTAATGCCTATAGATACTGAAGTTATAATTAATTTAATGTAACATTAAGGTATCATAGACTTTAGATTTTAGATTTTTGATAATAAGCTTTTTCAAAGACAAATAATATCAGTGCTCAAGGCTCTAAGGCAGATACTAAAGAAGTGGCCTTTTAAAAGTATATCAATAAAAATAACTTGACTAAGAAATTACTATACATATATCATTATTGTAATTAAAATATAAGTATATGTATATGAATTCACATTTTTTTTTTTTTGGAACATGGACAGGCTCTCAGACCCCTAGGTTCTTACCTTTCCTAAGCTGCCTAGTTTGCCTAGGTGAAGTGCAGCACTGAAAAATATAAGTATATTTTTGTAAACATTTATATTTGCTGTAACTTTAAAATAATAGCAAATTTATATTAATTTTTTTAATACTTTCCAATTTTATGAATATCATTTACCGATTTTATTTTTGTTTTAGGTTTGAAAAAAGCTCTAAAAAACATGAAGGTTTACACATTAGTCACAAGGTACCTAAGTATCAATTGTATTATGAACCGTTTTATGTATCATTAAATAATGTTCCAAGTTATGATGAACGGTTTATTGGCTATGGCTATACAAGAAACTCACAGGTTCATTTTTGCTCTTAACTTTAACATGAATGATCAATTAGTAGTGGTCTAATCATTATATTTATTATCCTTAGGTATATGAAATGTTTGCAGCTAAATATCAATTTGAAGTACTAGCTAATATATTTACTTTTCAACACAATTTTGCATCACAGAAAAAAAAATCTAACTATCGAGAAATGCAATATGCAGAAAATTTAGCATTATTTACTAAATTTAAAAAAGAAATAGCCGCTCGTTATTTATTAAGTCATTATTTATAAAATTATTCCATTCTAACTTTTTAAAATTATATACCTCAACTCAATTTCATTCATTTTATTATATTTACACTATTGTAATATTCGTATATGTATTTTTTATTAAAACTTAAACTAAATATATATAGTTTAATTCCAAATACCTAAAAGGAAATTTAAATTCAATTCATTAGCTTTATAAAAATACAATTTTATATATTTTTCCAATTGTATGACCAAAATATTCTATTCATTTTTTTTATTAAGTAATGTTTAAAATACATTGTTTATTGCACATTTATAAATTGAAAAATAAAACAATGTCTATGTAAGTATAATAATTGTATTATTTGCATTTTTAAAGATTGATGACAATACCAATTTTATTAGTACATTTTATTATCAAGTATTGCACAATTATTTTTCATATACGTAATAAAAATCTTGAAAATAAAATAATATTTAAATAATAAAAAAAAAAAAATTGCAACCATTAAGTTTGCATTAGTTTGAATAAAATAATATGTTTAAAAATAAAAACTAAAAAATGTAGTATACAGAATTTTTATTATATGAAAAAATCGTATAAAACTCAGGTAACAACTAAGTATTTATGTACAACATTCACGCAACTGATTTGTAACTATTGTTTATAAATAATAATAATATAATAACCATAATAATAATAATAATAATAATAATTAAAAAATCTAGGAAAACAATTGTTCGCTTAAAAGTTACACTATTAAATGCATACTGATATACTTATTTAATATAAATATTGATTTTTTTTAAAAACTTAAAATTTTAAGACTTAAAATCACTCTAAAAACAAATTTTTGTGTACACAATATTTACAAAAGAATCTCAATGAATCAAGAAAAATATTTAAAAACTATATTTCAAAACTTGTGTAACAGTTTTAAGTAGAAGAACACAATCAGTCCAATTTAACTCGTCAATTTAAGTACTGTTTATGTTTTTTTTATTGGAAGACATTTAAGTCGATAGTCAAATGTTATTGAGGGAGAAAAATGTTAAAACTATTTTATATGTACATAACATTTTACACTATTGCTGATTATTAGTACATAGATTTTGTCCGATATATACACAAATTGCTATGTAAGTTAACTTAATCTTTTGTTTGTGGTCAACTAGAATGGCACAAGTCAAATAAGAGCTGTGAAATTGTTCTTGATGATTCAACATTACTCAGTGCTATGTTTGACAGATGCGCTTCATAACGTTTTAAATGCCTGCAGCAAAATAATGTAGCCGTTAAAACTATTACATAAGATGCATAATATTTTAGTATTTGTCTTGGTATAGGGATATGCGTTCAAAAATTAAATTTTTGAATAAAATGTGTTCATATGAATTTTTGTTTGAATTAATTTTTTTTTTAAAACTTTGTAATTATTATTTAGATATTATAGATATTAATTTATCTTTTATCTATAGTATATTAATAGTCATCTATTCAGACTATTAAATCGTTAACTAGGGAAAGACGGTTAGACGTGCATTAACATTATTAGAGTTTCATATAGTAACCATTATATCCGCCAGAATTATGGTCAGTAGCTCAATGAATTGAATATTAATTGTCACACACTACTTATATCATTGAATCTTGGCATAGTCTTTTAATAGGTAATTTTAAATCTGATAGAATGTATATATTTTATATTTTATATTATAATATTGTACTAGATTGATATAGAAACATCCAGGTGCTAATAAATTCATAATACTTATTCAAAAAATGCAAAACGAGAACGAAAACTTAATTAAACAATTTATTCAAGGCAGAATTGCAAAAAAAAAAAAAAATATATTAAGGTATCCTGACAGCAACATGAAAATAGAATTAAAAATTTAGTTATAAGATTTAAAAATTGTAATCAAAAACATAGTTTTTAAGAGGCAATACGTATAATTTAAACATTTAATAATTTTTTACTACATAAATAATAAAGAAATAAATAATTTAATAGGTTTTTTTTATTAACAATGAGTTTAGTTATTCAAACTAAAACTTATTTGGTACAAAAATTCATTTGAACACATAGCCCCTAGTAATTTCAACATTTTTACTTACCATCTTCCAGTTGAAGAATAAATGACTAGGTTCCGTAAAATTAGTGCTGATGTAAGACGTATGCTCTTGGTTACTGGACCTTCATTATCATCCTATAAAACACAATGTCATTAATATAAATATATATTATAACGAAGGTAAGCTAGATAAATTTTTAAAAGATAATTTTTCAACTACATAAAACTAAGATGTCAACATTTAATAGTAAAATTGTAATATAAAAACTTAATCTTAAAATTAACTAAAACCATCCAATTTTGTATACTATAATATCAACACACCATATTACTTTTTTTTTTTATCTATTAAGAAAATTAACAATCTATGCCACATTATACAAACACGTGAAAAACAGAGGAGGAAGGCCATCCAATGATAGAACTCTCTATAACAGATTATATGTTTATAATTGAACACTTAGCATTATTATTATTATTTTTTTTTTTAAAGAAGATCTCATCTCCGTTTATGGTTTATTCGACAGATCAAGTTGCCAGAAAGCTTAATGATAGAAAAATGGCAAGAGGGTTTGAGTGAGAATGGAGTTTTCAATGAAAGTTTAAATAATATATTTTTGCTAATTGGTTTATTGGTTCTATATTAAGATCGTCATGTAGGGAAATTTGATACATACCATGGAAGCTGAGGTAATGATACAAAGTAAGATAGATTGATACGTCTAAATAAAGCAAGTTTGAGAAAGGTTAACACCTCCCCAAATTTGAACTCCCTAGGCCTAAATACGCCTTAGAATGGATTTATATATAAGACAGAGAAGGTGAACCATATTACTTAAGGAACTATTCTAAAATTGTTGCAATATTACATCATCTAATATTTAGATTTATAAAACAAAAATCAATTTATTTAATAATAGTTAAAATAAAATTGAATATAATGAAATGAGGAGATGGGGAAAGACTAGTAAAATTTGTACTGTGACTACTATAAAATTCACTTCTAAATTAAAGCCACATCAAAATCTTATCTAATACACAAATCTATATTTTGTATCATCTTAAAGGACAAGTGTTATAAACTTGTAATTAATCTTGCTTCTAATAAAAAAGAAAAATTGTTCTTTAAATAAACATCTGCTTCTATTATATGTATTATGTACATATAAACCTTTAATGTGTATTTTATACATTAAAATTAAATAAATGTATAAATGTAAAAAGCTTTCAACTATTGCTTAAAATATATGTAGTCCACAGTTTTATGTATAAGGATTTTAAAAATGTTGACTACTTTATTATATTAAAATTTTAAACTTTAAACTTTATTCTTAATACTGTTCAATAGATTAAAGCAATTATTTTAAAATAAATAAAACAAAATTAATAAGACTAAAATAAAATTTTTTTTTTCAAAAGTCAAATATTTAAAAACTGAAGAAAAATTAAATAAATTATAAATATTTTAAGAACACCATCTTCGTGACAGTTAATACATTATTTATTAACTAAGTGCACTATGTATTTTGATTTAGAATTATTCTCAATTAATGAAGTAGTAATCATTATTATTTATTTATTTATTAATGTTGTTTAGTTGGACAATTTTATTAAAAACCAAAACATATTGTTAAGTAAATTAAATCTAATTTATCTTATAGACAAAATAAAGATACTAAGTGTAAACTAGTCTTGTTTATTAAAAATAGCATAATTATAAAAAGAATAATTTAACTACTAGTGAACAAGAAAAAATTACATAATGACTAATAATATTTGATACATTTAAATTAAATAAACTTCACAAGCAGACTAATCAATGATAAATTATGATTAGGGCTGGGATTTTGATGCAAGTTCATCTTTTTTTTCTTATGTCCCAACACATAGGTCTGTCCATAAGCAGAAAATGTGTTTCAAGTGATATTGATTAATTTAATGTAGTTTTTATTTTGTATTTCATGACAAATTTAACTTTATATGCATTTTTAGGGCACATTTTGCTGTTTTTATGGCGTTTTTCAAGTTCTTAGAGCATTTTTCATAATTTATCTGTTCATTCTTAAATATTAGCCGTTTGTACACTCAAAACTTGCACGTTTAGTATGTAATCTTTTATATTTATAAACTAATGAATACAAGCATATTAGCCCATATTCATATTTAATTAAAAATAGAACAAAATTAAAATAATTTAAAAGAAATTTTTTTATTTGCAAGAGTCCAACGTTGATCAAATAATAAATAAAGTTAAATACAATGTTAATATTAAACAAATAGATACCTGTTCATTATTATATTGTTAAATAAATATAATTAAATATATTTGATAATTATTTTTATATTATGGCTTTTAAACTATAATAAATACATTTTTAAAGCTTTTGGGAATTTTTTTTAGAGCATTAAAATCCCAGCTCTAATTATGATCAATAAACACAATTCAATAAGAATTAATAAATAACAGTTGAAACATGCAATATCAAAAAAGTAAATTAAACAACCAAAATTTGAAATGCACACACTCAAAAAAATGTATTTACCTGATCGACATTGCTAGCCGATTGATGATTTCCAGCTGCACTCACTAGTCTTTGCTATGTTTTCAAGAATACATAAAATAAATTAATCATATTAGCTTCCTAAAATCTTAGACAATTAAATACTCCTAAAATATAATTCTACTTTTTTAAATTTTTTTTTTATGAATTGGTACATTTACTGTCATTTCTTAAATATATACTAGACTAAAAATAGACTATTATATATGTTAATTAAGCGTATGAACAATTAAATTAAAAAATATCTCACCTGTAATTCTTTGGGATTAACAAATTCTAATGCATGTCTTTTAATGGCATTAAAGGCAGCATTAGGTGCATAACCTGGATGAGGTGTAGGTGGGGCTGGTGCTGGAATTTCACTGCGACCGCTTTGAGATAGCTGTCTCCTTCTAACTGCCATCATTCTTAATACCTATGGATAGGATAAAAAAAAAAATTACATTTTTTATGAATATTAATTTTAAAAATATATTCTAACACTTACATCGGGATTACAGTGTCTATCAAACAAGTGTGTCATTAATGAAAATCGTTTGCGTTTCATAGCATCACATCGTTCCCATAAACACTGCATTTCTTGCACACCATTTGAAGGACAATGAGACTCACACGCGTGCATGTAAACTTCATTGGCAGATTTGAAATTACGCATGCACCCTCTCCACTCACATAAAAACTGACCTTGATTGGTAGTAGTATGTACTTCACCACTAACTTTTACTGGAGCTGTTGTGCGTATCCTGGTTTGGACAGATGGTGTAGGCATAGACGCAGACACAATATGAGGTACAGTTTTTATGACTTTAATTTGCTGTTTATTCGTATTAGACGTGGCAGGTGTTACAGGTCTTGTTACCATAGTTGTGGTTTGTTTAATAGTAGGAGGAGTTGGAATCCGTTGTACTATCACTTTAGATTGATTAGCTGGTGAAGATGATTGCACAAAGTTTGATTGACTTAAAGTCATTGTGTTAGGTGATTGATTATTATTTCCAGACGGCTGTTGAAGAATTATAATAGTTTTAGCTCCTGAACCCTGAGGAGTAGTCTGGGCTACAAGTACAGTTTGAGCTTGACCTTGTACTAGAGCAGACTGTGGTTGTGCTAACACATATTGTGGCCCTCCTGTATTACCTTGATGGACCATTGTTACAATACCTCTTTGATTATTTGATGGCCATTGGGTATTAGAAGAAGAAACAATTATTTGACCCGGAGTTTGGAATATTTGTTGAGTTGTAGGCTGAGTATTAACTTGCATTTGTTGTTGAGGAACAGTTTTTGGTGGTTCATCTTCAAGTCCATCAATATCTTCTAACACATCAGCTGCTAATGCAGCATAGAGATTTGCTGCAGTCGAAGAAGCTTTCATGTTACTTTCATCAACTTCCATGATTTCTTCATCGTTACTACTACTATTACCATTGAGATGTGGTTTTTTTGGTGCTTGATCACAAGGAATATTCTCTTCTGATGTCCGTTTACCACCAACAATTACTTTAACTACCTGACCAGACTTATCTGCTTCTGCTTCTTGTTTAATTTGAATACAAGCACCTGTTGATTTATCTTTTGTGTCTAAGCATGCTCCATTTAATTCTAGTCCATTGTCTCCAACTTGTATTGACCCAAATAAAAATGGTGCATCTTTTTTCTCAATATCTTTATCAACTTTATCTAATAGTCCTGATAACATTACACTCTTTGAAGTAATATCATTAATTTCAGGTACTTCTGGCGTTCCATTTTGAAGAGATTCCTTTTTTGGCTCCACTTTAATTAATTCACTATGATCTACCAAAAAATAATAATTTAATAAATTAAGAATAACATTTAAAATATGTAAGCAGTTGATTAATTTACCTTTATCATTTAGTTTATTTAAACTATTGACCAATATTTTATTACTTGAAGGAATTGTTGTTATTACAGATTGGTGATGTTCTGACTTAGTAACAACTATACCAGTATCATTTTTACATATCTCCTACAATAATAAAGTGTGCTTTATAACTCATGTACATAATAACTCAAAATTCTATAATAACTTACTTCTGAAGATGTAGTCTTAATACCGTTAATTCTAGCATTTTGCTTAGGAATTATAGATGATGCTGAAGCTAACGTTGAAGAAGAATTATTTTGTTGTTGTAATATTTTTTGTTGTTGTTGACGTTGCGTTACCTATTTACCAAAAATACATAATTATAATTATAAATTTAATACTATTATATAATATTATGAAATTTATAGTTACAAAAGAAATAAAGATTAAATTGTATACTTAAAACTGAAAATTGTATTTTTTTTTTTCAATAGGAATTTTAAAGAACAAAAATTAATGATTTTCAAAAAATAAATTAACATATTCAATAGAGAAATTATACTCAATACCTGTTATCAATTTAAATTAGAAATTTTAAATAGATCATATAATGAATATTAAAGTATAACTAAGTACATAAACATTAAATTATGTAAGACACAAAATGTTTGTTAGTAAAAAATAATTCAACACAACAAAAATACTACAAGTTAAAAAAAACTTATTTTATTAAAAATTTAAAACTAATAATTATTGTTAAACATAAGTATCAAAGAAGAGAAGCACATTTTGCCTTGTTAGCTAATGAACATTATTTGAACTTGTAAGTTATAATTACTAATTTATCTACTTTATTAAACATATTTAGTATTAAAACGAAGTATTAGTCTGATTTTACTCAACCATGCCTACAAACCTTACTTCCACCTTCAGTTCACATAGTAAAATAATTTGAATAAACATCTATAAGTAAAATTTGAAGAAAAAAGAAAACCCGAAAAATCTGAGAAATTTTTTAAATTTCACCAGAATACTTTATGTTGTAGGCACCACAAGAGAAATTATTATTTTATTGTTTATATTTTTTTTTTTTGTTTACGTTAATATAAACTTACCTCAGTAATAACAGTAGAATTGCAATTTTGAGAAGAAGCATATAACGTGCAAGACTCATTATTACTAAGTTTAATGGTCGCAGAAGGCACATTCAATTTTGGATCGCATACCTTGCTAGCTAACAATGTTTTAATTAAAGATGTGTTGTTATTAGATAATAAAGATCCTTCAGTTTGAGATACAGTAGAAGATGCAGCGGTAGTAATGACTGATGTCTCAGTAGCAACACTTGTAGATGAAACAGGATTTTGTAGGGTCTAGAAATAAATAGAAGCAGATGTAACTAAAATGTTCATAAGAATTATTCTAAAATTCTTTGCTACCATTTTTAGAAGAAATAAAAGTAGCATGCTTAATGTATCATAAATAATGATGATTTAATATATCTTTGATAATAATTTAATAAATATAATTAATACATTATGTATTCTTCAATAATATGACAGTACTTGGATGATATATAATAATTTTGTTATGTCATAAATGAATATTTGTTACAAATAACTATAAATGTCTAATTATATCTTTCTTTTTTTCCTGATTGCCTTATGGCTCTACTTTTAATAATTAATTTATTGTATTACAAAAATATTTATAGGATGAAAAAAAATATTATTCAGTTACAGTATCTAATCACATATATTTACGATTTATAGTCAAATAAAATGTTTACCTTTCCAAGAATTTCACGTTTAATTAAAGGAGAATTCTGTTGGGCATTAGTAGCTGGTGCACTGAGTTGTGCTTTTAGGATGGGTGAGGTAGGAATGGATGAGGCTGTTACAGATGTAGATTGTGACATAACCATTGGTGCACTGATTGGGAACGACAATGGTTTTGATCGAACCTGAATTCCATCATAGGCAATAATTTGAGTAGGTGGATCCATTGCTATTCCACCTTGGCTCTGTGCAAGTTTAACACTTTTTGGTCCAACACCCGGTCCAAACACAGCTCTAAAAAAAATTATATTTTATAGTTAATAAATTAATAAAATTAGTATAATAATTTACTTGACACAACGTGGAAAATGAAGCGGAGCAATTACTCCTCTTCTACCAGCTCTAGCACAAGCAGTCATGTATAACTTATATAATTCAGCTTGATCAATTCCTCGTCCAGGAGTAGGACATACTTCAAGTGTAGCACGTATCCAATTTAAAGCAAATTGTTCATTTTCTTGTTGAATTAAATTGGCTGCCTGAGGAATACAGGGTGAAGTTTGACTTGTAGATACTACAGTTGAATTGGTCGTAACAGTCATAGTAACTAAATTATAATTAGTTAATTAACATCAAATTTTTAAATATTAAATAAGTAATCAAATATACCTGGAACCATCATTTTGGGAGTAGCAATAGATTGCACTGGTGGAGGTCCAGTTGGTGTCACTGACGTAAAAGTATTAAGAGTCGTAGACATAACTGGAACAGCACTTGGAGCATTAGGTAAAATTACAGGATTAGCAACTGCTGGTGTTGGTAGAGGAAGCACATTTTGCGATGTGAAAGTTGAAATGAGGTGCTGGGTAGCATTAGCAGGTGAAGGAGGAACACTTGGGGCTGCCATTAAATGTGTCTTTGGTGTAGATTCAACTGAAAATGATGTTGTTGAAGGGGTAGTAACAGTCTCAATAACTCTCATCAATATACATGCTTTGGGACCATATGTCTGTGCCTAAAAACGTAATTCAAAATAAATATAAGAGAATAAAGAACTAACTATTAAGAATATTAATAGACACATAATACAAACAAATTTAAATAAAACTTACTTCAACAGTTATTAAAGAAACCAGAGTATCAATAACTCCATGTACATGAACAATTGCATTACAAGCACGTTCACCAAGTGAACTTAATGAGTACAAACATTCCAATGTTTGTATTAGCAACATGATATCATGTAAGGATAACATGTTACAAATTTTGTCGTATACCTAAAGAAAACAGAATTAATTTTTTTTTGTCTTTTGACGGAAAAAATAAAATGAAAAATGATTTTCCATACCTTTTGATTAATATTTTTTAATAAAAACTCTTCGTTTGATTCTTTTGTGCCCATTCGATTTAGCGCCTCAACCGCACTTAGAATAATGGAACGATCATTAGATTCAGTAATATTTTTACAGACAATATTTAATGTAGCATGCTGTAAAGAACCAACATCAAGAGGCACTACGGGACCTATGTTACCCAACATTTCAAATCCAATTTGGTGTAAACAGTTCCATCTTGTTGCACAACATAATAAAACAAATCTTAGGAAGGTTAAGTCTTGACCCATAACTTTCATATTTTCCTCAAAAAATGTTAAATTCCTAAGGATTAGTGCTACTTGATAAACCCGTTGTCCATACGGATCATCTGTTCCTGGAGGCCTTTTGAGACCAAACAATTCATCATCAGATGGATCAAAATTCAATTTCACTTTATTATTTTTATAATCATCATCATCATCACTACATGAACTAGATTCATCATCTTTACGAGGTAGAGTTTTTGGAGTTCGAGCACAAAATCGACTTTCATCTGTCAAATACAGAAGTTCTTGTTCATCCAGAACTTCTTTCCAAAATGACTTTATTGACCATTTTCGTACTTTTCGATAATAATCCTCCCAATACTTACGTGAAGCAGCTAAAATATTTTAAATTATCATTAATACACGGTAAAATTTTAAACTGTACAACTTTATAACAATCTTACGATGAGTAAATACTCCAGCATGAGCTAAAAGATGATGGAGAATTTGTGGGCATTTGGATAATTTAATTGCATGTTTGTTTTCATTTGATAATAGTATGCAAACATTAATTGCTAGGTCTTGCTCATTAGGTAAAGGTGATAATAGAGATAAAGACAATTTTTCATAATCACTTGCTTTATAGAGGTTTGTTGATAAACCATGAAATGACCGTACTTGTTCTATAAAAATAAATAAAATTCAAGTTGCAATAAAAAAAATAAAAATAAAAACATATGTATTTACCATTAACAGTATGTTGGTGATGATTATAGACCAAAGGAACAGAATGCAAAGCTCTAGCAGACCATTTTTTATGTCTGCTATCTTCATCATCATCACCAGCAATTGATCCAGTTTCACCCAAAAAATTAATTTTTTCATATCGATCTAAGTACCTATTAAATAAAAATGGAAAATAACAACTATTAACTATTGTTCTAATTATTTCAAATATTATAATTTATGTCTAATCTGAGTAACTTATTATTAAAAATATTTTATAAACCATTGGCCTTTAAAATGGCCTTTACCTTAAATATATTTGTTTTAATGCAACTTCAGCATTAACACAGGACGAAAGCAGATCAAAATTTTCTAAAAGATTCTTCCAATCATTTCTTTGGTTAACCTATAAAGTAATAAATAATCAAATCAATATTTATGGATGTAGATAATTATTTTAATTTTAATTACTACAATACATAATAAATCATTAATAGTCTAGGTAATCTGTATTTATACAACTATCTTAATTCTAGAATTGTAGTCGTGTACAAATATATAACTAATTTTTATTTAATATTATTGCACTCAACTAACTCAAATATACACAGTACCTAATTCATAAGCATTGATACAACAATATCAGTTTGTATCATATCAAATAATCTATTATAACATTTTGACAGCATAAAAATTTCAAATATTTAATCAACAAAAAGGAAAATATTATATATTTAGTTTTAATGACGAATTATTATTAGTGTAATTGGAAGTACACGAACATTTTAATAATTAGTTTAAAAATGAATTAAGAAATAAGCAAATGACACAAGGTGTGATTGAAAAAAATTAAGATAAGCCAAAAAATGAATAATTTTTAATAAGTCATTCATTATCATGAGCTCATGGCTATACTGACAACATAATAATGTTAACTGACAATATACTGTATTACGTCCGAAAACGTAACACACCATAACGGTAAAAGAGGAAAAACCGAGTGAAAAAAGAATGCAAAGTCCCCCGAGTGCGAAATGATGTGAAGTATGATTCGTAAAGACGCTTAACAACGGAAGCACGTGGCGTCTGCTGGGGGTATCCCTCCAGCTGATCGGGCAATAGTGACGTCATGCAGTGGAGAGGTGAACAGCAGCCCCACCACCAGTCGTTTTATCAATAGCCCCTTGCGTCAAGATCAAGTGCATATCCGTGAAACCATCCTAACGTACCAAGGTATTTAGACACGTTCCCCGATTCTATGAAATGATACATTGAGCAGTATATAGCTAACGAATACAGATAACTCGGTTCAAATTATCAAATATCTAATTGAAGAATAAAATTTCGTATTCATATTACAAACGTTCTACAATTGTCTATTGTTTTCAAGCTATATAGGCTGATAAGACGGTTTAGATTATATATACATAATTCAACTGAAGAGGTCAATTTTTTTTTTTAAATTTCAAGTTAATAATCAAAATGTATACATAACTAAAATTATAAACAAATTAAATTATTGCAACATAATATATTATAAAACTATTGTTAGGCTTGAATATGTTTTTTTCTGTAATCAAAGTAGACAGATAATACATTCGTATAAAGATTATTTAACAATTAAGCAATCCGAATTGAACTTATCTATAATATATAACTTATCAATAATCTGTGGTATGATAAAATTAGTATGGCTTATATGAGTCATATATTTTTGTTTTCGTGTTGTTCTTAAAATATTAATGTGTAAAAACCATATTAAAATAATAATTAAATTCAATCAACTAGAGAAAACATGATTAAATACGAATACAATTAAAAATTACAAGTGTAATTTTCTGGTATAAATATTAGCAGTATTATTTTATTTTTCGTAAAATTAGTGTGGTGTACTTTTCTTTCGATTCAACTTCCGACTATAATAGTTCCCGGATGGGTGACCACTACCGGGAGTTTAGCTACAAAACTGTATACAATACATAGTATGGTTAAATCTGCTATAGATATTTGTAGATTTATACATGGTAACAAAAAAACCTTTAATAAAATTAATTAAACATTTATCCTTAAACCCTTTTACTATGAAAAACAATAATAAAAGTAACTTCTCTAATAAGACAGAAAGAGATTGTCGTCATGAAGTTAATATTTATAAATAACTAATTCACATTTCGACAGAGTACATGAAATATTAATTTTAAATAAACTTATCATTATTTATTTCTATATGCCTAGATAATAGCGTAATGTTGGTATACATAAATTTATTTTTAAATTTTTATTTATATAATCAAATTCAGATAATCTCCAATGTTAAGTATTTAGTAGCGATAAAAGTTGATAAAAGGAAGAATCTAAGAAAAGATAAGTGATAGATTATGCTTTACTTAATTTAAAAAATATAAATATATAGATAGGGAAATTAAATGTTGGAAACAAAATATTAATTATATCATTTAATGACATACATTTTCACTTATTTTTATTTAAAAAATATTAATGTTTGTATTAAACTGATAATTAATTAATATTATTACTACATAATGCTACACATGTATAATGTACAAATACATCTTAAACAACGAAATTTAAGTATAAAATGAATGTATTATCAGCCCTATTTAATAACTGCATTGATATTTTATGAGTCCATTGATAAATAAGCTAATAACAATGTAATCAACATTTATATTACTATATTGAATGTCAACTCAATATTTTTAATAATTAATTAATACAATAGTATAAAAGATAACTTAGTTCGAGGAAGGTAAGTTGCTTGTTTTTTTATATTCATAACAATAACTTGTTTCTAGGTATGAAAATTAATAATTTATCTAGCTTGTAAGAATTTTTTTTATTTTTGATTAAATAAACATTTACCTTTTATTATTATATTTATAATAATAATTATTACATCAATATAAATATATTATAATATATAATATAAATATATTTGTTCATTAAATCTAGTTTTAAAGAAATTATCTACCACGACGCATGTTAACACTTTTTATCTTAATTTAAAATTTCTTTTAACTAATTTTTTTATCTTAATTCAAAATTTCTTCTAACTATACTAATTAGTTTTACAAAATTGTAATAAATATAATTTTTTTTAGATTTATTGAGAAAGAATACATTTTACGGGTCAAATATTTAGTTACTTGAACTTCTATAACTTCCCAATTTTTATTTATTAAATCATAAAAATGTAAGCTTCTCGGAGAGAGTATGATGACAGGCGTACAAAAAATGAATCAATTTAAACATCGTTTATAATAGTATATACCAGCGGTTATACACTTCTTACCCGGCAGTCCCCTTTAATTAGACCAATTTCAGCCACGATGTCTTGCTGAGAATACCAAGAAGAGCTCATATAATAAATGCACATCAGTTTAATTTTCTTATAAGCCTTGAAACCCCTTGAATGAATTCCATGCTCTGCCTCAAGGGAACCGCGGTGAGCAGTTTGGTAAACTATGGTATATAAGATGGGCTAATAGTACGAAAATGTTAGATATTTGTGATATTTAAAAGCAATAAACATGATTTAAAAGAAGATAACAGAAATTTGTAGCAATAAATTAATGTTCACTAGTATGTTAAACTAAAATTAAATACTTAATAGTTGTGGATTAAAATACAATTATTCTGTTTTATATTTTTGTAACTCAATAATACTAATATTTAAGAAAACATTTATTTATTTATTTTTTATGTTTCACTTTTATGAAAAAGTTACTGAACATCTAAAAAATTTATTTCTATAGCTGTTTTAAATATTCCTCCAAACTATCACCACAAACTGAAAGCAAATGTAAAATAATAATTAGACTAAGAGGTGTTTGCATTTTATTTAGTTAGTCTAGAATACCTAGTGTAATTATTACCACAACAGTTATTTTTTAATTAGATTCTTTATTTTAATATCTGCTAGCAAAAATAAAATAATCTACTGTAACAAAAGACTAGGATTTATATTTTGCGAAAAAATCCTAGTCTTTTAAAAAATAACCATTTAGGGTGTGCTATTTGGATCTCTAAAATATAGTTTCCCCGATGACACACGATTTGATCTCTTCACAAGTGAAATGTTCGCGGTGGTCGTAATAGAATTACAAAAGGGTCAAGTCAACGTGGTGGGTGAAAAAACGTAACAGCACTATTTTCACTGAAACGGATATATTGAAATCGTTTTTGGGCCGATTACCTATGATATTATAAATATAAAAAAAAAACTTAACACTACCAGGACACGGTGTGCGCAAACACGGAACCGGAGAGTAGACATATAGAAAACCAGATGGTCGTGGTTCAGATAGATCGTCGTATTCATGGCCAATGGTTCGTAAGAAAACATTGTACGCCGCGTGCGAGTGTGGAACACCCGAAAGGGCCAGAAACGCCAATAACCATATACATATGGACGATGATACAGAACAATGATTAATAATTAAACGTTGCGGACGGGGCGGTGCGTGGCTGGTAACAAAAAGCTGCACGCGCACGGTTCATCGTCGCCACAAATACTTCATGCCGACGGTGAAGTAGTGGTGGGGCGCGGACGGGGGGGGTCTCTCTTCGCCGACGGGGCGCTATTACCGTTACGGTTGTAAAAACGCCGTAACTAAAACATCGTAACGAACAATAATGAACCGTACGGCAATGGTTGAACGCGAATTTCGACGGTAACACGTCATTGGTGTAATGCTATATTATGTATAATATATTATAATGTAATATTGGTGTTGCGGTCGTTGTGGGCGAAAAACGTTTCCCGTCGTCGTCAAGTGTCGACGGAGTCTTCAGATAAAAATACGCATAAAAAAACGGGAGAAAAAAACAAATATCGCAATGGTAAACGTTCAAGAAGCGTGAGGATTCCGTTATAAACAGACGGTGAACGCACACGCTACGATGTACAAACAACACGTTGGGCGCGAAGAATGCGCGATATTGTAATAAATTCGATGTTATTAACGGAAGGGGGAACCAACGGCCACCGTGTGCGAGATGGCCGGCCGGAAGCGGTTCGACGACCGACGGCGGGTAATATTTTCGTTGGATAGGTGCGGAGAACCGCCGCCGTCAAAACCGAGTCGTATATAGCTGGCAGTGCGCAGCGCCACGAGGTAGGGGCAAGGAAACGCGGGCGGCAGCGACTGACGCACGCACACGGTCGGCCGCTGCTTTTCTGTTGACGACGGCGATGGTGGGGAGAACCCGAAAGCGGCAATCGCGCGCAATCGTTGACAGCCGCGCGCGCTACACGGCCAACCGTGCGACGTTGCCGAGTCGTGCGCGCTCCCGGATCCGTTCAATAGCGCCACGATGCCACCGAACCGAGAGCGCGCGCCGCCGTCGATTATACACACCGACCGTCATCGTCACAACACAACAAACGCAATAACATATTACTTATATAGATATATGTGTAAAAATGTACGTATATACGTACGCATAAATATACCGACGAATGCCGCACGCGCACGCGCCCTTTTACACCGTTTGTATACAATGCGTACGCGCGGCCGCCGCTCGATCGTAGAACCCACAATCGAGACACGAGAACCGTGTACATTACATTATTATTTTATACGACGGCCGTACATTTTAGATTGGTATTAAATTTGATTTTGGGTTTTTTTTTTCTTCTTCTGAATCCAATTATTGTACGCGTGTACGAGGGCTTAGCGAACACGTATAAAATGCTCTACGCACTTAAACGGGTTTTCCCGAAGGTTCCGGGGATAGCGTAAGACGCCCGCGGCGGAGCGGGGTGAGCGATGGGAACGTGGTGTGGGCGGCCAAGCGTTATTCGGAACCGGAAGTGGGGCCCCTGGCACGGCGGCAATGTAAACAATCCGCGGCCCGTGCACTAGGTCAGGACCGCGCCGCGGTGGTCACGTGCGCCGCCGAGACTATAGTGGATCGCGGTGGATGGGGGGGCAGCAGCAGCAGCAGCAGCAGCAGCACCCGTGTGGCAGTAAGTCACCGGCGACAGTGATAGTGACGCCCGGCCGTACGTGGTAGGGCGGAGGCGACGGCGGCGTCGTGTGATAAGCGCTCCGTCGTCGTCTGCTTTTAGATCCCCGAGATCGACCGCGTCGACCGATCGTGTTTGTATACAACACAAGTAGACACCGCACACACCTAGCGCGAATCGAGCGATCGACTACTACTCCGGCACCTACAACCGTAACCCGGTCCAACGCAACCACGCCGCCGCCAAACCGATCGTCGTGTTTTTGGTACTCTGTAGACACAAACGTCCGCGAGGCACGAAGACACCCGCGTTCGCGATTTTCATCCAGATCAACCCGCTCGGTCACCATAATATACCATATATCACTATCAGATATCATTTTTCACCCATCAGACTAACGTTATTCGTGTTTATTCCTTACGAGTGATCATAATTCAAGCACACCAAAAGTGGAAAATATTGATACTTCTTTTAACGTCAAAACTATGTTGTTCCGGTTTTAAACATTACTACCCGTTCATCAAATTATTTGTGCTCCTTTTATGTTTCACGATTCCGACACTATTATAACGTTTATACTATTCACTAGATGATTTTAAAGCGACCTCAGAAATGTAAAAAAAAAACATTTTTGTTTTCTGATCAATACAAATCACATTTTAAGAGAAACATTTTATTTCTTCATTAGGTCAATTTTATGTACAGAGTTTCTCGTCAGATATCGTTTAGGCTTACGGTTAATATTACTGTAAATACTTTACAACAAACTACCGAGGCGAATTTCGTTCGTCTTGCAATTACTACGGAAAAGCATTTCCGTACTGAATTTATTGGCAAAAAGTAAAATGAGCCCGAGAGCCATCAAGATCAAATCAACTTACCTTAACCCATCCTCCTTGAGCAGTGACTAGCACATACAGAAGATATAAATCAATATCTTTCCCATCAATTTTCGGTGATCCACGGCTTGGTGTCCTGAAATATAAATACACACAAATGTTTTAAAACAATAAAGATGGTATTTAAATCAGGGTTTTAAAAGATATCAGCACAGTAAAATCACAGAATTCAATAATTTAATGTTCTTTAACAAACTTTGTACAGCAAAAAAGTAAACAAAAACAAAAGTAACAAAAACGTGTTTACTATGATTGAGCAATCAACTGCAACACAAATAAATATCGATATTTAAATTATATTTGAGTTTTAGGAATGGGGAAAAAAAATAATAAAAAAAAAAAATCTTACGGTTGGTTGATATATCAATAATTTATATACATGTACAAAATGTATGAACATTATAGTTAAATAAAATAGCTAAAAATAACAATCCAAATTTTATGAGAAGTATTTGAAAGGTTGATACTGATCAATACTGTATTTATACTTATTTCAAGATTCATAATTTAAAATCATAAAAGTTATTTATTTTAATCATAACTTATGAATTTATGAATAAAATGAACACTTAATTATGCTTATTCAGTTTCTAATTATATTATTGACAATTGAATATCTTTGTTTATTTGAATTTACGATTGAACTTATGAAATTAAATTAAGTAGTAAACTAAAATAGATACTATAATTATTTGTCATAAAAATGTGGAGATAAATTTCTTGTAATTTAAAGAACGGAATTTTTTTTTTTTTTTTAAAAAAATCGTTTACATTTCGTATATTACTATTATACCATATTACGTTTTGATATTTCATCAAACGGCAGTCGATTGGATTTTGTTTGACCAATAAAATTCATAAACAAAGTGAGCAAAATAAAATAATCGAATTTACTACCTAACTAGAATTTTTAATTATTGCAAATTATGATTTATTCTTCGCATATGGTGTTGCAAAGAAGGAAAGTAATGGATTTCCGAAAGCAATATTTACGATATAAAGCCCGTTCGATAGAAAGTTTCAATATTTTTCACAACAGTGAAAAGCATATTCAACTATAAATGTACACGTGTAAGGCTGTGTCATAACTGAACACTAAGTTGTACTTCCATTTCATTATTTAAAAAAAAAAAAAAAATTGCGTATGAACATGATTACAAACAAATCAGATAATTATTCATCATATCATTAATTACTATAGAAAATTAAAATTAGTTAGTTTTTAGTTCAAATACGTAGTAATACACGTATATACACACATAAACACACACACACACACACTCATACACTTAATTAGTCAATAAAATATGTATAACGTGGGTACAGCTAGTTGAAACGAACGTTTCATAACCAAGACTATAAAAAAGTACTAGGAAAAATTAACAAAAATATATTAATAATAATATGTGAAACATATGTATGCAATGCAAAAACGAAAAAAACATTTTCTATAAAATCGTGTTACAACTCATCCCAGGCAGTATTATTTCTAATATATATTTTTACTTGAGCATCTGAGCATCAATTGAAATGGGCTCGAAAAGGCTGACCCTCTACCAATGCATTCAACACCGTTATTGGACGTCAAGAAAATGTCAGTTAATTTTTACGAACATATTGTAATTATAACTTCTATTTATAATATAGATGCACCGTCCGCATCCGTTTCTATCGACCGAGAATATAATTGTAACTATAAGGTTAATCTAACACAACCAACGTCCACCCCACACCCAAGCACGGGGAAAAATGTAATTCCCAAGATTGTAACCGAGTAACATGACCGGACGGCGTAGAACGATTTCAACGCGAAGCCCGTCAATAACAACAGTCTCGACTAATCAATAACGATCACGCGTCAACAGCGGGTACGCTCGTGAAACGACGAGCGCGGGAGAGCAAAGGGCCCACGGCGGCAGACCTGGTGCCGCGGAAACGCATTGGCGTTTTGGAGGGAAAGAAGACTGGGAATGTTGAGACTGGTAATTTCGAACCGTAGTTCAGAAGTCGCAAACGAGTGGGCGGCCCATTTCGATGGGAACGTTAAGGTCCCAAATTAGACGGAAGGGGGGGGGGTCTATCGGGTATTCGGTCCCGTGCCCTAAGAGAGACATCGGTAGAGATGAAGAAAAAAAAAAATTTAAGTCTCACACTTACCCTCTAGTGTCGTGGAAGTGCTGGAGGTCCCTCAGGAAGCTGGCCTTTTCCTTAGCGTAGCAGGCCGGATCCTTGTTCAGGACGCTGGCCATACCTACTGGGCGCGTTGAGCGTGTGCTGAGTTACGACGAGTGCGGTGGTGGCGGCGATGGACCACGCGGGCCACGAACGTGCACACGGAGTGTACACCCGAGGAACGCGCGCGCTGGCTGCTCGTCAGCGCTGGACGTCCACGAGCATTTCACGTCGTCGTCGTCGGCGGCCTCTGCATCGTTATCACCGGCGGCGGCGGCGGCCGTTATCTACGCCGCGGCGGATCTGTGACGGACGCGCACACCCCGCGCTGCTCGCACGTACGCGACGACGACGGCGGCGGCGGTGGCGGCACAGTCCAGTCGGCGGCGCGCGTCCCGTATCGTTGTCGCCCGGCGGCCGGACCACCACGGACGTCGAGTCTCGGCGGCGGGACGCGTGAAAAAAAAACGCACGGAACGGTAACGAGCTGCTAAGAATTTTTATATGCCCTATACGAGCGCACAACACTGCGGCGCAACACACAAAATGGCGACACGAAATCGGTGAATGTACGTGTACGTGTGTGTGTGTGCGTACGTTGGAGAAAAAAAAAAAAATTAATAAATAACGTGTAACGGCGGAGGTGTCCCGTGTGGGTCGGCGTAAAAGCCCGTGCGTACGGTGCGGTGGTGTTCAGGGCCGGCCCGACGCGGCGAGCGCGGTTGCGACGGGCAGAAAAAAAAAACAAACCAAACGCTCGCGGAAAACCGGGGAAAAGTCGAAATTCACTAGGCGATCCGGCAGACCATTCGTCATAGCACAGTGTGTTCACATCGGTCGGGTCGCTCCCACCCCACCAACGGAATATTGTCCAAACATCAAAACCTCGCGCGCGCACGTACCGCACGCCCCGAACCGTCCGTTTACAGTGGTACCAACGAATCACAGTCTCCGCCGTCGCTACCGTTGTCGTCGCGCGCCCGTACGCACTAAAACTGCACAGTACAATATACTGCGTTTGTACGTACCCGTTTTTTTATACGTTTACACGTTACACGCGCGTATCCGTGTGTGCGTGTGTATTACCGTGTACGGTATACATCGTACATTATGCACTAATACCATATTATAAGCCGATGACTATAAAATGTATACCGTAAAACCCTTTTGTTGTTTATCTTCAATTTTATTTTGTGATTTTCGACTCGCCTTGACCCTTTGCTAGTGAGACGATATTGTTATTTGTTATTGTATTAATAATAATTAATTATTAATTAATTAATATTTCACTAATATTCCCTCCACAAATCGTTTATGCTAAACCGTCCGACTGAACTTGCAACATCAAAAATTTCACGGTTTTTTCGAAAACAATATAATTTCCTCGAACATCAACCAGTGATCGAAAACGTACGTTCTCGAAATTTGAAATGCTTTAAAATCGCGTGTATGACCGAAATTCAATTTTAACGATCAACGCGTGCGGGCGTATCGCTTCCGTTGCGGGTACGCGGTAATCAAACTCAAAGCTCACCGACCGACGCTTAGGCGCGAGATACACGTCCCCACTGTTTAAGAGTATAATGTATTGCATATTTGTGTTAAATTATTAACGTTTCAATGACTTCCGTAAAATATATTTAAAGGTATTTTTTGTGCGCATAATGCATACAGCAATTCAATTAAACATACCATTACCGTGACATGTTATTACGAATATTTCAAATTGTAGTTTTCAAATATAGAAGCTGTTAAACTATATGTGCAAAACATACATGTATTTAATATTGTATTAAATATTATTTATATATTCGATTTAACCATCATTGTTGTACGAATTGTCTACAATCCAACTAATTAATTAAAAATAATGTTAAATTTATGGAAAGAATTCATTTAAATCATAGAATATTCACAACACACCGCATAATAATGCATTTCTGTTATCTACAACATAAATTACCAATACAAATATGCTCTTAGTTTTTTGCCAAGAAAAATAATTAGAATCACTTTGTAACATTGGATACTATTTAGTTGATAAATCTAGTTATTTTTCTAGTAATGTCTATAGTTAGTTTATTATTTTCATCAGTTTATTATCTATAATAGTTTTAGTTTGGTTTACAGTACTTACACATTTTATTTGTCTTGCACATAATTCCAAGTTAAATCTTGAAACTACCATAGTTAAAATAAAATTGTACAATGAATATCAGTAGCGCAATCAGGAATTTTTCTTGGGGGGGGGTCTGACAAAATAAACTAATATACAAATAATAAAAAATTATAATATATATATCTAGAATATGATATTAATATACTATTATACGTACCAAGGGGGGTCCAGACCTGGAGTCCACCCCCCTGGTTGCGCCACTGATGAATATAAATAATAAAATAAAATGAATTGTGGTCTATTATAGACCACAATTAATTTTATTTTATTATTATCATAATCCTGAGGCGATTCTGACATCTAGGTCTTTTAAGCTCGTTCTACTTCTAGCAATAATACAATGTTTATAAGAGTGTCAATGAAAGAGTGGTTATTAACATTAAATTTGCAATAGGGAACTTGAAATTATTTTGTAGGTATATTTACTAAAACTGTTATTGTTATATATTCTTAAATATTTCTTATTTCAAAATCTATAGAATCATATGAAAATTGCAAATTATTGAATCCTTGTTTAAAAGTAATGCAATTTAAAAAGATTTCCAAAAAAAGATCTTAAACTAACGAACTACAACCTATATTATTTCGCTATTTTTATTTATATGATTCACCATAAGTTCCAGTGCCGAATTTTCCCCTACATCATTAATCAAGAATATATTGTACAAATAGGAAAAATGTAAAACATAAGCCACTTGCTTCATCCATGATTAACGTTTCATATTTAAATACACTGATAAGTAATATATATAAACATATCAATTACATAAAATCACAAATTGCTATTTTATGAAAGTATAACTTACGCCTACATATGGCTACAAAATTTTTCAACACAAATGGGAAATCATCGCTTGATTTTTTTTTAGTTGTTATAAAAAAAAAATACCACTTTCCTAAGTATGCCAGAGTAGGCTTCCTCTCGCACCGAAATCCTCAAACCTTAAGTACGGCTTTGACAACTGACAAGTTTTCAATTCTCAAAGTCAGTCATTAGTTATATAATGTTGATAAAATATTCATCGCATTTCACAGTTATCTTGATGAAAATATCTTATTTAAGAAAAACTGTTACATTCAGTACAACCACTACACTAGAAAGAATAATTGAGTTCATTGCTATATTAATGTAGATACCAATGTTAATATTTAATTTAATTTATCTGATCCGCCTTTTTATAACATAATAATATAATATTATGCTTCTATAAATTACCTAAATCATCAACTAAATCATCAATCATACCTAAATATTGTGGGGTATTTTCGAGGGGGTCTCTACCTCCTACCCACAAATAAAATTCAAAAGTTATTAATGACTTGTTACGAAGGTACAGAGAAAAAGAAAATTAATCTATTTTATGTGGTTGTGAATAACTTTTTATTTGTATTTATAATATTAATATAATTATTAATTCATACCCTATGTGTATTTTTCTAATATTATAAGCACTTATTTTTAGAAAAATTTAACCACCCCCCTCCTACAAACAGTTTTAAAATACGCCACTGCCTAGATACATGGGTCATCTGAAATCTAAATATTTTTTATGCTTAACAATAAGATTTTCGTTTTTTTTACACAATAATCATGGTACCAGATACATATATTTTAATTTTATCATAACTATTGTTATGATTACATACATAGGTATATTTAGTAAATTATAATGTATAAATTATTAATTAAACAAAACTTTAACGTTTTATTTAATATTATGGCATATTAGTCTGAATAAATATGTTTTCATAAGATATTTTTCTCAGACACTTTCAATTATTTATGATTTGAACTTTTGGAGTCAATTGTAACTGTTATATTATCATAAGATGTTATTGTACAATAATTTAGAATATTTTTTTATTTATTACGAAATATCATTTATTTTTTACCAAATATTTTAGAATAAATTATTTTTAACTTAAGCGACATCAGTTAAAATATGGGCTACTTACTCTTAGACTTTAACTGTAGGGCCCCATTTTCAACTTTTCGGGGGGTTCCCAGGCACACCTAGTACCCCCTCTCCAGTGCACACGCCTTTGACTACATACCTATTTGATTAGTCAAATAAAATCAGCATATTTATGGAATTCATAAAATATCTAAGAAGTATATAAAATCATTCAAATGCATCTTAATTTTTTTTGTCTCATCCATTTGAGTAAGTTATCCGTAAAATTAGTTGTATCTGTATTTAGCTACTGAAAATTTAATAAAACTAACCTGTAATGTTACTAAGTATTTCACGTGATTAATTCTTGAAAATAATTTAGCATAATTTATTTCAACAATGCTAAAATTATAATTAAAATTCAAGCTTATAAATATAATTACAAATAATTGAATCGTTACATACCTATTAAACCATCATTCATAACTTTAGTTGTTTCGACATTATGGTTCAATGGTTATATCTATGTAAAAACCGAGATCATAATACGATACGAATTATATCATTAAAATGGAAATTTACCATGGAGCCGGTTGAAAGAAACAATACATTACACAAATCAGAAGCGTATTTATGGGGTGGGGGTGGGAGGCGATGGGGCCCGGGCCCCCTCCGAAATGAAAAACCCCATTGTTAAAGATTGTTATTTTTAACATGGATATGTCTTAATGCTGGGGGTTTCCGAAAATTTGTCGCAACACTGAATATGTTGCTTATGCAATAATTTAAAATTTTATATTTATAAAATATGTTTATTCTTTTGAGAAAATATGTGTTGAATTTTGAGTGACTCTAATAAAAAATTTGTTTATTACAATGTAATTTTTATACTTTTTAAAAATAATAAATCATTAAAAAAATTGAGTTTCTTATTTCTCTGATGGTATAAAGACAGTCGAGAAGTCTTATAGTGTTAAAGTAATTTTTTTCGTAACAGTGTGCTTCCTCCTTTCCTTTCACCCAAAAATCAAATACATAATCGGCTCCCTCCGAAATGAAAACCTATATACGCCACTGACACAGATAATTTTATTGTATTATTTTGTTAAATATTCGTATTAATTTAAATTCTTACTAATATAAATTACATTTTAACTGTAAATTAATACTTTATAAATATAATAAATTGCTAATCAAGTGTAAGTATTTGTATCAACATTTACCCAATCAGGGTTGTAGCCAAGGGGGGAGCAGGACCATCGTAAGATATTTTTCGCCTTAAAGCGAACATTGTAATGCTGCTCTTAAGATAGTAAATTGAATAGTTACATGAATAATATAGCAATTAAACTTTTTTTATATTAGAATCATTATCATAGCACTGGCCATGCATATCAATTATATTTATCTTCAAATCTGAAAGCATTTTAATTATTCGGTCAGTTAAACCAGCTCCGGTTTTATCAAAAACTTCAATAAATCCAATAAAATGCTCATGTACAACTCCTTTTGAAATACAAAAGTATTGCAATATTATCGACATTTGTACCTTGTGACTAAAGTCATGTTAGGAGTACAATCTAAAATAATGGAATAATACTTTGCATCTCTCACTCAACTTAAAATGTTATTTTTAACTTTTTCACTCATTAAATTAATTAATTAATTTTAAATTTGAGGTTCTAAATAATATACATGTAGGTGTATATTTTGAAATATTTCTACATGCGTTTTCAAAGCATTATCAAATAACAACAACAATTCAATAATTTTCAGAAAATAGCTATTATGCAGAGAATGT